ATTCAAATGGCTGCCTCGTTCTGCCATGCTGAAGGGTTTTAGTGGTGCAGTTACATTCCTTGCAGCAGGGGGTCTGAGGGCTGTGCTTGAGGTGGCTGAAATATGTGCTGCTTCTTCCTAGAAGATGGAGAACTCCTAGGGTCCCTCACCAAAGGCATGACTGGAGCCAACTGCTGATGACTTCTGGAAAAATTAAAGGAGGTCTCTTTATCTCACTGGGCCCTCTTGTCAAGTAGGGGCAAGAAGATCTCCCTGCCTTGGCTGCAAAACACTCAGAGATCGTTTTGTGAAAGTCGCTATATAAGCTTTCAGTTGTTAGTTAATACACTGATACTGTTTTCCTGTGGGACTGATTGGATTTGAAAAGCTCACAGTCCCAGCAAGGAAGACCGTGCAGGCCTAGCATCAAAGCAAAACCCACGGCATGAACATGTCTAGTTGTTCCCCCTGCCCTAGTGCCAAGTTCTGACGCACAGGACTGCGATGCAGGGAAATCTTCCTGAGCTCCAGAAAGCGAAGGTGTCCAGCACCCACCTGAGGCTGCTCGTACTGAGAGATGCACTGACCCTGCACCATGACAGCAACTCCTGCTTCTCTTGCTTTCGGTGCTATGGGAGGCTGTGGAAGTGGGGTTGGGCCCCTTCGCTGGCTCACACGCTGTTTGAAACACGGGTGAGCTGGCTCTCGCAAGAGCAGGCAGCTCAAGGGGACAGCAAGGAGCAAGGCTGCGTGCATAACCCAGGGACAAACCAACTTCTCCAAATTTTCTCCTGTTATTTTTGTCTGTTGTTTGGCCGGCTTGTACCAGTGGGAGTTGATCTAATTGCCAGTTTCCTCCCGCCGTTGCTGTGTTTGTCTACAAGACTTCTTGTTGCATACCGTATAATTATATAAGTGAGGTGTCTCTCTGGACAAACGAATAATTAACTGTGTATTAATAGTATACCAGCTGGCAAGCCCTCGCTCCGTGTTATTTGTGCTGTATTGGAGCCTAGGGGGTTTCATTGTGCCAAGCACTGCCCAGACACATTGCAAGCAACAGCCCCTGCCTCATGTACAGCCTAAGCAGACCAAAAGGGCACCTTGTCCCCATTTTGTAATAGTGGACCCGAGGCACAGAAAAGTTGAGTGGCATGACCATGGGTGACTGGAGGCTGCTGTGAACTGTATCTAAATCTTCCGAGTCCTTGTTCACAGCCCTAACCATAAAGCCATCCTTTCTCTCATCTTGTGGTAACCCGCGTCTCAGCTGGAAGACTTCATTTTTCATCTGGCAGGCCTTGTGCTCTAGCCACTTGCACTGGAGAAAATCAGGAAGGAGTCCGCTAAAAATCAGTGCAGTCGCAGCGGTCTGAAACCATGGGATGAGAGGAGAAAACAAGCCCCCCAATTAATTTTATGCGGTAGGCTTTTTTGAGCAGGCATCAGTTCTTATGTACCCGTCTTTTCTTGGAGCTGCCTTGGGTAGTTTAGGGCTTACAGAAAAGTTCGTGAACAGTCCTCCCAGGGCTAGCTCTGGCTCCCTGATATCCAGTGGCATCAAATCACCATTTACTCCCAGATCACGGCACTGCAACTGAGAACCTTATGATCCGCGGTTGACATCAAGGGGGTTTTGCCATTGTTGCTAAGGTGCTTTGGCTCAGACCTATGGACTAAATCCTGAAGGTCCTACTCAGAGCAAACTCCCAGAGGCAGCACAGTTGGGCCCAGGGAAAAGACTGCAGGATTTATCGCTAGACAGCCACTGTTTATTTCCACCCACCCACTGACTTTCTTTCCCTCGTTTCCTCTCTTAAACCAGAATGTGGGCTTTTAAGAGGGCATTAGAATATATTTTCCCCTTCCTACTGGGGTTCAACCCCCCTCACTCATTGCCCCAACTGTATTTTGGTTTTGGATCCGGTATCTCAGTACAAAGTTCAGTAGGAGCTCACAAGCATCTTCTAGCTTTGCATCAAAACCAGATGAGATTGCAATAAAAGCCCCAGAGAATGAAGCTGAGGCCAGTAGAAATTGTTCCAGCAGCCTAAATGATTTCAAAGAGCAGAAGGGTGACTTGTTTTTTTTAACCAATGTATAATATAGAAGTCTGCAGGAGGGAGAAAGTTCTTTGCTAAATTATATTGCGTGGTGCAAAAGCCCTGTAGGAAGATCATTGTTCTCCATTAAACTTTGTAGGGTTGTTTTACTGACTTTCCTGATGTCAGCGTAGAAACCACAAACCAGTCTAAGTTTGCTGGTACCAGGAAAATGGCTGTGAAGCAAATTCCCTAGCACCCCCCTCATCCTCTGCCAAACACAGGAGTGTTTACAGTCTGGAGCTTGCATCCACCTCTGTTTGAAAGTAGGATTTAGTTAGCCCAAAAGGCGTGAGGAGTCTGAGCTGCATTTTGCAGCCAGGTTAGGGTCTCATGTATTTTTGCCTTTCATAACAATAGCGTGCTGACTGCCTCAGTGTTTAAATAACCCCCAGCACCGTAGTCGTGAATAGGGCAGATCCTCACAACTCCCCGGTGAGGCAGGGAAGGGCTGTTTCCCTTCTGCAGGAGCGAGGGGGAAAGCGGCAGGGGAGTTTGGGTGACAGGCCCAAGGTGACAACAGGAGTCTGTAGCAGAGCTGGGAATTGAGCCCATATCTCTTGCATGTTAGGGGAGCGTACTAGCTAATGGACAACCCTCTCACTCTCTGTTGGCTTGCTTGTTCCCTATATTCATGTGCCTGAGGTCCTGCTTTTCTTCCTCTCCCCGGCTCTCCCTTCGGGACCGCTCCATTGCCCCCTGAGGTTGACACACGAGCTGGGGCTGACTCCAGCAGGACTGTGGATCAGGCCCTCAGCCCTCGTGTGGGGCCTCTTGTTATAGCCACTCTAATTATATGTGTGAGGTCTGTCTCCCTTCCTCCCCGTCTGCCTCCTTCTCTGCCTGCTTGCATGTCGGACTCCTTGTTATATTGAGTATAATGATGAGTCCAAGGCCTCTCTCTTCCTCCCCTCTGCCCTTGCCTGCCTGCATGTAGGATCTCTTGTTATAGTCCGTGTAATTATGGGTGTTTGGCCTCGCTCCCTTCTCTAGGGTATAATTTAGTTTTATATAAAGTGCAGTCCCACCCCCGTCGCTCCTGCGCCTCCAACCCCTGTTGTGCAAACTGTTGCTATTCTGAGTGCCAAAATGGGGCTGGCAAGGGGAGGGCAGGAGGTGTGGGGGGAGGCCAGGAGGTGGAGAGGTGGACTGCGAGGCCTGAGGAAGGAAGTGAGGGGAGACTTGGAGAGACTGCATGCTTCTTGGTGCCTTACGGCATCTCGGTGCCCGAGCTCCCCTTCCTGCTGCTGTTCCTCCGTATCGAGAGAGGAGCCTGGAGAGCCTCACCGTTGTCCATAGCCTCTGCCAGCCTGGGGCCCTCTCCCTTCCTGGCACCCCTGGCACAAGTGCCCCATCTCCTTTTCTGAACCAGAACTCATGGTGGAGGTGATATGTTTTATTAGACCAACTAGATTGGAGCACTTCAGTCTCCATGCTCCTCTGTGCTGCTGCTTGAGGCTGCGGGAACAGCAATGCCACGCCTGTCCCAGGAGTGTCTTGTCAGAGCCAGCCGGGACCGTGGCGGTGTGGGCTGCCTGTCACTCAGTGCCCAGTGAGCTCCATCCCGGAGCCCAGCAGTGGAAGCTGCCTCAGTGCGGTGCCCTGCTAATGCCAGCTAACCTTCCTGTGCACATCTTTATGCAAGTCCCCCCAGTCCCTGCCATGGCTGAAACCAGCCATGAAGGGACTGTGATGCAATCTTAATACAGTGCTGCAAGCTTCCACACTGCAGTGCCCTGTCCTGGCTGGCTGGACCCCCTGTCTGTGTCAGCAGTGACCTGTAAGGACATGAGCTTCTTCCTTACAGTGCCCTGAGATCCAGGCTGGACGTGATCCTACCTGCACAGCAGTGCCCTGTCCATGCCCAGCTGGGACTCTAGTGCCATGTGTGTGAAAATGCCATGTATTTCTCTCCATGTACTTTAGTGGGAAGCAAACAATATGGCCAATTTTATCCCAGGCCACTATGTAGCTCGGGAACAGCTTGTTGCTTTTCACAAAGTAGCCAACCAGACCTCAAAGCTTATGCCTGTTTTGAATTTGTAAGTCTTCAGAAACACACCGACCCGCCCAGGTTTTCACTTTCTAGCATTAGAAAATTGCAAAGTTTTTAGTTTTTTAGAGAAATAGGCCATTTTCAGCAAAAAAAACAAACAAACCCAAAAACTGAATTTTTGTCTGTGCTTGAGTGCAACTGGCTCCTTTATTTAAATACAAAATCTGAAAGCCGGGGAGGGGGCATGTTCAAAATTATTATCACCAGGGATCCTGGTTTTGTCTGATCAGAGAATTTTGGATTTTTTTTTTAATTAACCCTCCTCCATCCTCTTTTTTTTGTGATTAAAAAAAAACAACCCCCGAATCCACATTCTTCTGTGATTAAAACAAAATGCCATATCAATCCAAATAATACATAGTGGCATTTTGTTTTAATCTCAGAAGAATGTGGATTTGGGGTTGGTTTGTTTTTTAATCAGAGGATTTTGGAATATTTTTTTATCAGAGAAAACCAGGATCCCTGATTCTCACTAATTGTTTGTATGTGGCAGCACCTCTGAGCTATCATCTGGATCAGGACCGCCATGGTGCTAGGTGCTGTACAAAAACAGAGCTAAATGATGGCTTCAGGAAGCTCAAAAGGGCTTAAATCTGCTCCCAGCAAAGCCAAAGGGAGTTTTACTGTTGACTGTAAAAGGCACAAAGTTAGACCCTTGCTGAGTGCTTTGAAAATGACTCTTGAAGAAACATGTCTGCGGTTGGGGTGAATTGGCATAGCTCCCTTGGCTTTGCTGGAGCAGGGCCCATTCATACCAGTGGAGGGTTAGGGGAGAGATCTTCTTGGATAAGGAAATGGTTTGTTGTCAGTATTAAGCACAGCCTTGGAGCCAGCTGATCCCATTGCCCTCTGTACTGTGGAAGGGTGATCGAGACGGACGGGATGAAGGGCAAGTGCGGCACCGAGGAGCGGAAGCTGATGCTGCCTCCCTGCCATCTCTTGCAGACCAAGATGAGCCCTCGCACCCTTCCTCCACGCAGAATCCAGCGGTAGCAGCTCCTCCGGCCTGCCCCACCCCAGCCCTTCACCCTCAGAGCCTCGCCACGGATGAGAAGCAGAAACCATCAGAAGACGATGAGCCCCCGAAACGCCTGGCGAATGGAACGGCACCCGCCAAGCCTGAGGCCAAATCTGAATTCAAGGTCACTCCCAAAGCTGTGACACGTAAGTCCCTGCTGGCTGGGGTGGGAGCGGTGAGGGTGGTCGGGCTCCTACAGAACTTCTCCCCTCCACCGTGGCTAGAAGGAAACCCTGAAGTATTTAGGGCAGAGGTTGCCGTTGTCTTGAAGAGCCTAGTGCAGTGGGGCTCCGGTCCCTGGCTGGGGCTTGCAGTTGCTATAGTAATACATAAGATGAATAAAAATAATAATTCTAGCAAGAGTAGGCAAGCCCTCCCCTCTCCTCCTCTTTACATTAGAGTCCCACTCCCATGCAAAAGCAAATGTATTTCTATCCATTACTCCACCGCTGGCAGTAATCCTGCTGGCAGAAGTAGGTGTTGCATCCAATGATGGGGTAATTACTGCTGAAGTTGTCTGTCGTGTTAACGTGATGTGCTGAAGTCATACACAGGGCTGTCTGGAGAGAGAACCTAGATACACACCTTTAGCTGAAATGCATGGGGCATTGAGAGCTTTATGGCAGACAGAAAGGGAAGAGGTTTTTGCTCATGTTAAAAAATCTCCGTCCTAAACCAACCTGTAGATGAGTTACTCAACTAGGGGTTCGGGCCTGGAGACCAAGGAGAATGAGCAGCCTGCAGGAATGGTGGGCATAGGACTCAAGTGCTTCTTGGCTGACAGCCCCAAAGGCAGCAAAAATGCAGAGGGGCTGAGGATCTGCAATTTCAAAGTGATGTCCACTGAGAAATGGGGCCTGTCCTTTGAGTGGTCCTGTTTGCATAGCATAAATTGGGATTTTAACGCATCCATGGTACAGCTCAGCTGGAAGTAGCAATGAAAGAAGCCAGGGTTGCAGATAGGTCTTCAGAGGCATGTTAGCATAATGACCCCTGGTCTGAAAAGGCTCAGCAAGGAAAGTGTCAGAGGATTCCCTGCCTGTGGATGCTCATGCTTCTGCTGAAGCAACCCCATCATTGCACTATGACAGGGCAGACCACCAGCTCTCATCTTGAGAGCACCAGCAAGGGGCTTGTAGCTGATCAGGAAATCCATCCTTTCCCTGCTCTTGGACCCCATCTCTGGCCCTCCAACCCCAGGAGCTTGCTCTGAACCAGCCCCTTTTATTGAATACTTCACTAGGCTCACTCCTTCCAGGGGGCATGAAAGGGATTGGAAAGAAGGGGGAGGCTCTAAGTGAGCTCCCTGAAGCTCATGTGGTAGAAAAGATCCAATAAAAGGAAGAGCAGCCAGGGAAAGACGAGTGAAATGTGACTGATCCTGATGGATGGGCCCGGACGGGAGTACGTGGAGGTAGGAGAGCATTGATTTCCTGTGCTGTAGCTCGCAGGCCTTGCAGGCATCTGTGAGCTGGGCAGCTTGCCCACAGACATTCTGCACCTATGAGTCATTCCACAGTCATGCTGCACCCTGCGTGGAGAGCAGACTCGTAGCAGCCATGCTGCTCATGGCTACGTTGCCCTCCTCTCCATGGAGCCATTGGCCTGTGACGCCGCATGTGCGTCAGCCCCAGCTCTGCTCCCCCCCACGTGGCTTACCTGGAGAGCGAGTTCCCAAGGGAACGCAGTCATCTGGGGTGACGGTAAAACAAGTGCAGATCTCCAGCTAGGGATAGGGCTAATCTGGTGTCAGGCTTCAGGGCATCATCTGATCGCAGCAGGCGGGAGGAAGGGAAATAATCCCCAAATGATGCAACGCGTGTTAAGTGTGTTGGGAGGAAACGTGGCCTTCCTCTTAACATCACGCTTCAGGCACCGCTGGTTGGATGGAGCAATGATCTTAGATAATCCCGCAGCCCCCATAACTGCGATATCTGAGCCCTTGGTCTTTAATGGATCCATGTGTCCTGCTCACTAGGAGATAGGGAGGGAGATGCTCTTGTCCTCAGCCTGCATATGTGGAGAATCTCACCTCAAATGACTTGTCCAAAGGCACACCGGGAATCTGTAGCAAAGCAAAGGATAGCATGCGTAACCCAGGTCTCTTATTGACTGCCTCACTGCTGAGCTGACCTTCCTCTCTGACCTAATTTACCCTCCTCCACCTGTGTCCCTTATTTTGCTGCTCTGTCGGGGTGTCTCAGAACCCATCAGGGTGGACCTGTGAGCAGACATTTGCATTTATCGCATGGAGGTTAACTGCAGCAAGGCCTGTTTTACTAGATGCTGCAATTACAGTGTCACCACCACCCCACTCTGCTATCCAAGGTATATAGCTGTTTCTGCAATTAGAATAATACCCGCAATATCTCCATTGGGATGGCAAAGGTTGGTGAGCATGGACAATGCGTGCTAATAGCTGGCCAAGCCGTCGTCAAAACGCTCTCGCCTTGAAGAGGCCAGTCTTTTCTTAAGAGTCACATGAGGCTGAGCTGCAAGGATCTTCAGATCTTCCAGATGTGGGGCTGAATTTTCAGCAGGGCTCACAGTCAAACTCCCCAAGTTACACAACTTGCTTTAAAAAAATGCCCAGCAGACAAGGTGCTGCACTTCCTAGCAAACTAGCAGGACATGTCAGCAGGAGAGCAGCTGGGAGTTCTTGCAAATGTGACCCCTGTGGCGTGCAGTTTCATTGTGTATGTTCATGTGTTTGATGCGCTGTGGATTGCATAAAAGGGAGGTGATACGGCCTGTTCTGGTATCTAGGTAGGGGGTGGCAGCTGTATGTTTGCAGTGTCAGCCCTTGCAGGGAAGGCAGAAAGCAGGGAAGCTGGTGAGGAGGCCTTGATGTTGTGTCATCCTTCCATGGCCTCCATTTCACCCAAGCACTATTTACTGAGTCACTAGCATGACCTTTAGCAAAGCTACTGATTGTTCCTGAAATCCAGTCTTAGCAGGGTGAAATACTGCCGTGGTCAGATCTTCCATCCACTCGGAGTTTCTGGTGACATTGAGAGAACTGAATCAGGACTGGACAAATGCTTTCATATTGGTGCTGGGGTCTGCTCCACCCTCTCTCCTGCATGCAGGTAAAGATCAAGGGGCTGGCCTCTTCCAGTCATTAAGGCTAGGGACAGACGTTCAAAAAGCCTGAGTTGATTCAGTCTCTGCAGGTTAGTCTAACTTGGCTAGACTAAATCAGTTTGTAATCGCCAAGACATCCCAGAAATGCAGGCACACGCCTGCAGTGGCTTGGACTAAAAGCTGGGAGGCGCTAGAGCAGCCCTCCCTTCCCTTCTTCAGTGCTGAGCTGAGGAAGGCACTCTGATTAGGGAGGGGTTCCTTCGCCTCCTGACAATCCCAGTAGGGAAACTGTTAACACAGTGTTTATCACCCCTAACTCAGTGTTTATCACCCCATTAAGAAAACAACAGAGGGACATTACCAGCTACCTGGTGATTCTCCCTCTGTCCCATCTGCCATAGCACGGACCGTAGCCAGCATGTGGTCTGCTAGCTAATGCTGAGGCACATCTGTGTAAGGCAGAGGGGATGAGGAGGGGAGTGGGGGGACCAGGGAAAAGCCAGGCCGATGCCTGCAGTCTCTGCTGAGCTGCAGCCAGGGAGCAGAGGGAGAGGCCAGCCCTGCTGTGGAGCGGAGAGCCCCATCCAGCCCAGAGAGCATGCCGGGATGCTGGAGGAGTCTGGCTTAACTTAAACCAGCCAGCAAGGAGTCTGAGAAAGATGTTGCGTAAACCGGTTTGACCCAAATCAGTTAAGTCTGATACCACATTCAACTGAGTTTATCTCAAATCAGTTTCAGCCATTTTCAAACTGATTTATGTGCACCAAACATCGGTTCTGTTACAGGTTTAAACCAGTTTCTGATCACTTAAACTGGTTTATGTGTAATGTCTGTCCCTAGCCTAAAAATCCGGGCAATTTCTCCCGCTGGTCTTTTAAGCCACTTCAAACTGGTTAACTGCATTCTGACACCCTTATATTTCCAATTGGATACATGGTCCTTCATTCCTTCCTGAACTAAACTGTTATGTGGTGCTCCAGGCTGTTAAATAGCTGCTGCATTCTGTCAGAGGGCAAAGGAACCCATTCTTGTATCTCCTTTTGAGTGTGTTGGGAGCCTCTGAATTGAAAGTTGCCCCTAAAAACATAAGATATTTTTCCTGACTCAGATAGGAGGCTCTGGCCTGGTTTCCTTGCTTCTCCTCTGCCGTGGAGAATGATTTTGATTTACAAGCGGTTTCACCCAAGGAATGCAAAGAAACAGAGACAGCCAAGCCCCGTGCCCCAGGTGCTCTTGTGGCTCCTGTCATTTAAGAAAACATCCAAGAGCCAAAGTGGCAGAATATTTGTGCTGAGCACCTGGGGGAGCATGCCTGAAATTCCTGCTCTGTGCTTCTGATTTCCTCTCTGCAGTGCAGGGCAGGCTCCTATGCTCGACGAGCCTTTCTTTTATCAGACTTAAGTGAGTGGGGTTTTAAAAGCCTGGCTTACCGGTATCCTACTGGCCTACGGAGTACTTAGGTTTACCTGCCCCACAACTGTGCTGGAGCTCACTGCATCCGCTTACAGAAAGGCAATGGGGTCATTTCCCCAGAAGCGGGTGAACGAAGATGGCTGCATTGTGGGCGGGCTGGTGGGTAAGGCACAGCATTTGCACTCGGAAGACCCAAATTCAATTCCTGGATCTGCCCCAAGCCTGCTGTGGTTTAGGGCAGATCACTTCTCATTT